ACTCACTTCTTCTGTAGGTGAAGCTGGATCACGAATGATTTGCGTGAACATAGACGCATTTAGGTAGATCGGGGGCGCATTCCCTTCAAAAACAAACGTAATCCACTGCGTCTTCAGCGGCTCAGATGTCGGGAGTAAATGATGACTGCTATGTTCAGTATTACATCCAACAACAGAACACCTCAATCGCGAGTCATTTTTGTCTACATCTGCTCTGGCGGTGAAACACTGGCGGACTGATAACAGCTCACTCAGGCGGGTCTAAGGTAAGATGCTGTTATGAAACGCTATTGTCAATCGAACTATCGTGGGAGGGGCCTGTTTTTGTGACGTCACACAGACAGGCATCTGAGATCGGCTCGATTTGAGAAAGGGGTAAAGATTTTAGATTTTAGCCTGTCGCAATAATCAATATATCGACTTATCGCGCAATATATGTACATGACCTCAATCATTTTTGGTGACGCAATATATCGCCCATTATATTTACTTAAAAATTCATGTCACCGTGTTTTGTACATTCCACTTGCGCCTGTGTCTTTTGCAGCTTCTCGTGCATAACGTGGTGTAGTCATGAGGTGCTAGTTCAAATTTAAAAAATGCTTAACTACAAAAAAAGTTTCATCTGCAGATGTGGTCTTGTTTAGGGATCTGTGCCTTTGTGCATACGGACATCTGAATGCTAAGTAGTGATTGTGTTTTTCAGCATCCGATGACCCCTTTAAAGTTTTTTGGTGGGATAGAAGTATTAAAAAATGCCTTTTAACGGCCTTAGAAACATAAAATCATCGTTATAGGGATAAAATGAAACAGCTACAAGTGCTGGCCACTCTAAACTTTAAAAAGATGTTTCAACACAGTGACAATACAGCTGAACACTCAACATTCGTTGTTTAAAGTCTGACTCCAACACAGCCTTTACTGAGTAACCTTCACAGAGATTGATTGGCTGCCTATTAACATGGATATAATGGACTTGGTTATATCAGGATACAGCATACAAATAAGTCCATGATGATGTCAAGAAACATAATGCAGACTTGACAAGGACGGGTCAGCAGCAACTATACTAAGCTTGAAAATGAAAAGCATAATCAAAAGTACAAAACATATCCAATAAATAGTTTCATAAGCAAGCACTGTTACTCGTTTCAAATGCAAAGAGGTTGTTTTTGAGATGTTTTTGATGCACAGAACTTTGACATATTATAGGTGGGCCTCAGGGGAAAAATAGAAAAAAGGACTATCACTTTAAAGAATATAAATACAAATTAAGCTTAATCAGTGGCATGCTTGTTTGGTAAAACATGGTAAAGAAATGCATGATCAATAGAAGCCTAAATTTTCAATGTAAGCAAAAAACTGCTGTTAAACAGCTGCTTTCATTTTTAAACTACAATATTGAAGGCCTTTGATCAGAAATCAGTCACACATTAATATGCCTGTCATGGAAAAGTTATTCTATTCATTCCACCAGACTTCATATTCATGTATGTATTCATAATGTGAAGAGATAGTACATTTAATTACATGCCCAATTTTTTTGGCAAGTAATTAAAAACTTTTTGAAACCAAATTGTTGGCATACACAAAGGGCAACAAAAATGCATTACAAGCAACCTTCAACATTAAAAGGAGGTTCCTGTTTTAAAGTTTAGGGGCAGTTAATGAAGTCTCTCCCACCACATACGGGAGTTCACAAAATACACAAAAAAAATGAAGAAAGGTTAAAAGGTTGCTGAAGCTGCACATACCTCTCACATGTGTGATTGCACATTTGGCAGAATCTCTAAAGTAGATGTTTCAGCAACCTCATGAATTTTGAAATGCATCAATAAAAAGTAAGTATTTTTCGGTAATAGGCCCTCACCCTAGAAGTATTCAGGGCAATATTTTTTTACTGCCACACCACGTTTCCTGAACATGAACATGAACATGGCGGTTTTATTTAAGATATGTTAATAGCATTCAAATGGGATCAGGGTTACAATTAATCTCAGCAAATGGCACTTTAAAACAAATGGCTTCCTAACAACAAAACGTATTTGAACGACACATATATCATGAAATTTTAAAGGGGTCATATGATGCTGCTAAAAATAACATTATTTTACATACCTTACTGTTCATAAAATTAAAAGGGAAAATTTAGGCTCAATTAATTTTTTTTTTTCTAAGCTATCCATTTTAAAACTGTAAAACAATCTACACTAAAAAGCAGCAGAAGTGCCATACTGCGTCCTAAATGCTTAAAAGTGATTTAAAATAAAATTATTTAGTATAAATTAATTTATAAATAAATGAGTAAATACAAAAAATAAATTAATATTTATATACACTACAAAAACATTTTTTAAAAATAATGCAACAGTTTGTATAAATATTTGAGTTGACAACTTCTAATGAAATTATGTTCAAACACACTACATTGAGTTAGAACTTAATTTGTAGCATAAACAATTTTTAAGCGATTACTCAAATTAAGCGGTTCCAAAAAACTAGAAGAAAAGTCTTATCTATATCATTTCAAATTAACAGCACATGCAAAAATGTAAATTATTAAGCATGTGAAGTTAATGAAGCAAGTTTTACTTGTCAATGAAGTAAGATATTACAGCGTTGGCACAGTCATTCCTCATATGGTCAATGTAGTTTAATTTCATTTAAGTTACTACATCTTTTTTTAAATAAATTAATGCAGAAAATTTGTTTAGATTATACACAATATTACATTAATGTCATATTCAAATCAATATTATTATTTCAATAGAACTTATCAAAATAATGTTTGGAAGTTTCTAAAGCAATAAATTAGAATTTTTAATTTGCAACCATGCATTTAAGTTGTGGTAACAGGTGACATGAATTTATTTTTTGGAGTGTAAAACTAAGGATAAATATCGACCTCTTTTCCTGTGACAAGTATGGAAACTTAATTAGAGAATTTCTTTGTCAATCCATCATGCTAATTAATAGCTTTCAACTCACTGCCACCACAGTTCCCTTTCTCTTACCTGGTGGTCCTGAATTTTACGGCCCACTACTCTGAAGGCGTTGTTGCCAGTGTGGTGATAGATGTGGACTCGACTAAAGCCTGTAGATCCACCAGCCGGAACCCACTTCTTATTGGCGTCGTCATATACCATGACAGCAGCCCGCGCCTGACAGATACTCTGCTCACTGAAAAGGAAGAAAAGAGAGACATATGAATGATTGGATGGTGGAAAACAAATCTGCCTTGAATAATCTTCAATGGTTAAAACACTCATTCAATAAAACTCAAAATTCAATAACGTAATTAATTTTTTTTTTTTAATTTTCAAAGTCCTCCCGCTGTCTCTGGTTTAAAATGGGCAATAAATATGGGAATCAGTGCATTAAATTCAATGAGAAGTCATTGTAAGGTAATAATTGCAGTAGATAACTCTTCTTCCAATCACAGAAAGCTTTAAACCATAGAGAAGTAACCATCCGTCATGTGATCCTGCATTGGCACTCAAATGCAGTACACCTTTATGGGTCACGCTTTCATTAAGCAGTCACCCATCTAATGTAAACACTGGAAATCAAATTCCCCCGTCTCTCTGCTCACTTTGCACTATAGAGCAACTCTTCCTTGCATATAACACTAAATTATTTACAATGACTTCCAACTTCCCACTTGCGAGCCACTGAAAGGTGCTAACACACACTTACTTTGTCATGTGATCAAATGGAAGCAACACTTTTAACGCAGGTGGAAAAAGGCGAGAGCGAGAAAACGAGAACGGGTGGAAAAAGTGCTCCGACCTTGTGAAAAAATATTTCTGGTTGTGCACATCTCCCTCCTTTAGAAACATTGACAATGTTTTGGCCGTATATCATTCAATAAATCTGTTCTAGTTGTAATGAATCTGTGTCACTTTGTTTGCGAAATGGAAAACAAGACAAAGAAATGAAAGCTAGATTTTATGTCATAGTTTTTGACCAGCTGCATTTTGTCAGTTGCTTGGTTTATTTGCACCAAATAATTCCTGGTCTTCCTGGTTGAGACACTGTAAAACTAGCACCAATACCCTGATGTCCCTACTATTTGATTTACACTAATATAAATTCTCACAAAAAAATTATGCAACTTAATATTCACATACAAAAGATCATCACCTCTGTGGAGATGGAAAGACTTTGAGATCAGATGCCACATGGCTAACAGCATTAAGTTAATCGGGTAAAATAAACAATCATGACAAAGCACTCTAGAATATACATCGACAGACTGTCCAGTGTTTTGTTTTGCTTCTCCCTGAAATCAATCTGAGGACTGAGATGAAATCCCGGGATCATCGGCCCGACAGATAAGGGCTAATCTAACAGGATTGTCTGCCGAGACCAATCCCTGCACTTTAATTAATGAACAGGGGTGCAGGAGTGGGCCGAGAGGGCTCTCCGGTGCTTTCTGTTATATTACAGAGTAATAGATGGCAGACAGTCAGAGAGCTAATGGTTTACACAGGACAACTGGCCAAGGGGAGAGAGCCATGACACATCCAAAGCAAACCCCATTCTGTCAACAAATCTATGACTCAAATAGAAAACATTTACATCCCCAAACAGTTCTTGCAAAGAAACCCCAATGCCATTTCATTTTTTAACTATTAAATGTTTTAAACAATTAATAAACAAATCAAAACAAATTATCCAAAAAAAAACTATTTCTCTCTCTCTATATATATATATATACATACATATATGTATATATGTGTATATATATATATATATATATATTAGGGATGTGCATCTCATGACTCAGGCCGATACGATACGAATCTCGATGCATAGCCAACGATATGATACATTAAAGATACATATGAAGGAAGTACCGATGCGATGCGATTCAACCCTATTACGATGCAGTGCGATCTGTTTTCGATTCGATTCGATTCAACACAATGCGATTTGATGCAATATGATGCAATGGAGAAAATATGATCACTTTAATTCCTCGAGGCCTGTTTCATAAATCTAGTTAACCATATAAGCCAGGCTTATTTCAGTTATCTGACTCATTGTCAAATTATTTGGTTCCATAAAGCAAATTTAACATAGGCCTAGATCAAGCGTAAAATCACTGAATTAAAAATGAAAATTTCGATTGCGCTCAGTCTGTTTAATGCGCATGCGCGCGTCAACCTCGCCCACTCCTGACAGCAAAATGGATATGTTTGCATGACTTTCTAACATTTACAGATGAAAAATATACCTGTGACATGTCAGTTATGCACTGAGGAAAACACAACGTCTCAAATGCATTAAACAGCACAGATATATGAACCGCTTTAGCCCCGATTGATTTGTTAGGTTATTTCAAGTCAGGTTTTGGACTTTAATCCCAGTTTTTCCTCGAGTCTCCGTGGTGTTGTGATGATGCGTCTTATTCACGCAGCAGCAGCAGCAGCAGTAAAGCGCGCTTGAGAAAAAGTTTAGAGAGGAGAAATCAATCTACTTATAAAATATTGGTCATATTGGTCAGGTCACTTTCTAAATAATAAAAGTATAGCGCATCCACTAGTAATTATATATAAATGAATCTGTTTTTACCGATGCAAATATGTTAGAAACGATGCATCGCGATATAAATGCCAACTTGTAGCCGATGCACACTTTTTAA